TTTTCATTCACTTTTTAAAAATACATTAAAAACACAAAGAACTGATTTGATTATGTTCAGTTTTAATGTGTATTTTAACTGCAAGTTGGTCTTAAACTTCAAATAAAGTGTTATTTTAAAAAAAAGAAACTTAACTAAAACCTGTAAGACATACGTATAAATTGTAGTAGTGTGCTTCAGTGCATTATGTTTTGGGTTGTTTTCTGACATTTCAAGCACAATTTTAAATATTATAACTTCTTAAAATGTCTCTGTATATTTTTTTTAATAGGGCTAGAACATGGCTTTGCACAGTTTGAGTGATAAGGCTGTAGACTTCTAACAGCAGTTGTCTCCCTTTTTGCTCTATTTTACCCAGCTGAACCTATGAAGTAATAAGCTACACTTATGTCATTACAAAAGTATTCTGTTTTTCTCATGAATGAGGTCCTATGAGGTCCTCTCCAGTGAACATTTTTATTATTTCAATGGTAAACAGGGAAATGCTTTACTCAGTGCAGTCATTATCGTAGGACCTTGATGTTGTGCTGTTAATGACTAAAGCATGTTTTTCATGTAAACAGACCTTTAATGACTGGTAGTAAAAAGCTCACGTAACATGTTGATGTTTTAGGATCTTGTTGGACAGAGCGCACACAGATGTAGACAACATCTGCCAGAGCCTGGACTCTGACCCAGAGCCCGAACCACTCGCCTCACCACTTCCAAGCTCTCCGCTCCACATCTCCAACGCCAGTACCTCAGAAACCAATACCTCGGACCCAGCCAGCTCCTTCCACCTTCCCCCATCTTCATCACCCCTGTCGTCATTAAAACCGAAGGACCTCAGCCAGATTCTTTTGAACATTAAATCTTGCCGCTGGAGGCACTTCAGACCACGGACGCTATCTCATCACCCTTTGGGTGGAGATTTGTCACGCAGAGGATTTAGGGATTTTAGTTGGACTGTGTCGGGACTAAACCGAACCCTGTCTGGAGGAGCCAGCGCCCAGAATCGCATTGGGCCAGCCACCACTCCTGTAAATGGTAAGTCACTTGTTTATTCTACCATGCTGGTTATTGTTTTTAAGGATAGGATTACATTACTCGGTCACAAGTGTCTCTACGCCTGCAGTTAAATAACATTAGTTGTCTACATGGCTATAAAAAAGTATACTGAAAGGTTTAAATCACAAATGTGGGACTCTCTGGGAAGGCTGTTTTCACTTTGTGTTTATTGTCATAGCTCTGAGTGGAAGATGGTATAAAACTGAATTGTGTGTTTGAAGAAATTGGTTCATCTGAGTAAAATATACATTTGTAAGTTATTTAAACAATCTTTAATTGGAAATAGGTCAGCACATAAAATGTACAGGGAAATTTTGTTTTCGGAAATGTGTTGCTGGCATCAAATTTTTTAAAAAACAGTAAAATGTTGGTTTTGGAGCCTTGGTACCACTGATGATCACCTCATCTTTAAACAGTGCTTGCTTGGAGGGCGCTGAAATGAGAAAACCAATTCTTCTAGTTTTGAAAGCAGAGTGTTATCAAATACTGGTGTAGATACAGTGCTATGCTGTCATGTAACTTCATTACTGAAATTTTGGACTGTGGAATAATAACACATCTCGTGGGCCATTCAGTGTCCAGTTTTTATGCAGACAGTTTTCCCTTTTAAACCTTAGCCTTACTTAAAATGAACTAGGGCCTATTGGAGACTGCTGTACATGTATGCATTGTTTTTCTTTGCATGGTAAACATTTCAGTTGTGTTCAGTGATCCACTGTGTTCACTGACAGTGGTTTTCAGAGAGGTCCAGGAATTGATTTTTCACTACAGAACCTGCGTTAGTTTCCAGCTTTGGCTGCTGCATCCAGAGATTTTTTTTTTTGTCTTTTGTCTTTTGGTGTGCATTACACAATGTTGCTATTGATCTTTTTTTTTGTTTTGTTTTGTTTGTTTGGGTTTTTGGGTTGTTGTTTTTTTTTTTGCCAATGATCAAACTTTTTTTAAGTGTTTTGAAGTTTTACACTATGTCCCAACAGTTCTATAAACACATTCTGTGCTCAAAAGAAGTTTATTATAGCATCAGGAGTGTGCAGCCACTGCTAGCTCCATGTCACAACTATAAACACATCATTTTGTATTTTACTTACACACACACTCTTGCAGGAAGAAATACAGTTTTGTTTTCAGTTAATTTTACAGCTGCTTTAATTATGGGTGTTCAGTCATCTTCTAAGAATCTGGAGACTTGTTTGGAGTGGGGTTTGTAGAGCACCGTGCTGTACTTTATGATTGTTTTCTTATTGCTTCTTGATTTTGTCAGTTTTTAGCTCATCTTGTGTTTACAAAAACAGATCCTGCAGAATTGTTTTTCTGGGTTGCACATGGAGCAGTGCAGTTAACTTTATCCACGCATAATGCAGCAATAATGCTGTTAGTTGGCATTTATTTTGGGATGTGACCTGTGTAACATTTTTTGATGAGGCACCTTAAAGGTAGATTGCTCTGCTCATGCCTGGTAAAATCACAAACTTTGTACTTTCGTTCCCCCTTTCCTTTTCATACATAAAATGATATGTTCCCCTGGCTTGGGGGATTCACTAAGAACATGGCTTTTTCTAAACAGATTTGTGATATCCTGTGAAGTGAATCAATGCTGGCGATAGGAAAACAGGGTGGTGATTTCAGAGACTGGGTAACAATTTAAAGAGGATATGAATTTATCAGAAGCCTGGCTTGACTTAGTTTACACTTATTTGTTTGACAGTACTGGCAAGTTAAAGAGGAAACTCTTATTGATTTTATTGTGTAATGACGGAAATTAAGCACAGATGAAACCAGTTTTTCTTCCATGTCTTCTCAACATTTCACCTGTCTTTACAAAAAAGGAAAGAAATGCGACTGCCAGGTTACTTACTCACTATCACCAGTTCACTGTTTTGCTGTTCAGCCCTCACAGCTCCTGACAGTGCTTATATCTGTAAGGGATGCTGTAAACAAGTACGGTCAACTCGGACAGATACTCCACCTCTCTCTGTGATGGGACATTTTAGATAAGCAACATGTAAAGTTTAGTCAGCTGAAAGCTGTGAGGAGCAGTGCAGTCCTGCAATACTTTGGTGTAGGAAATAAGTGGTTGTCTGGCAGCTGTGTCAGAATGAACTGACATGTAAGAATTTGGCCCAAGCAGATTTGTTCAGACATTAAGCGTCATACATTACAAAAAATCCTCAGTTTAAGAGGAGACACAAATTCATGGGGCTTGTGTGCTCATATTGTC